AACAACAGGAGGAACAATCAAATCAATTTATTCACTCACACTAGATGGCTGGAGCGACCCCCGGGAAGCCCCCGAACCTCCTCGGCGAATCCACCGAATCCAGACTACCTCACACAGGCCACGACCTAAACTTCCTTTTGCCCCAGAGCCACGTGGCCTTTTTGGGGGTTTGGAATTGCTACTGTGAATATGCAATTGTGGCTGAGTAAATTAGCCTGTCAAGTAGAGAAACTGGCTAATGCCACTGATGTCAGCCTGTAGCTACTCAACGGGCAACTGCAAGCTACGCCGAGGATGGGTCTCCAGAACTGCACGGCACTGGACTTCATGCTGCTACAGCCAAATGGACCCTGTGGCTGCCTGAGCCTCTCCAGCACAGACTGATGCATTCACACCCCGAACACCACACAGGACCTCAGCCTCCAGCTAACAGAGATAAAACAGGTGGCAAAAGACACCCATGAGCTCCGAGAGACGCTGAATGACAGCTGGCTTGCAAAGGTGTTTAGATGGTTTGGATTCACTGTTAGTGGTTGGATTCAAAGTGATGTTGTCGTAGGGATCGTTGGGGGTGATGTCGATTGCATGTGAACTGATTGACCCATTTGTACCCCCAGGAATTGTCCATGGAATGCCTTTTCTATATACAATACAGTCGCCTTACTGGTTTGTCTTTCTGCTGGCTGTGTCATTCATGCTGGACCTAGTAACTGGCAAAACAAAATGTCATGTTTATCCATGCTCCTCCGCTTAAAAAAAAAATAAATTGCATTATCTCAGTGTTAGACAGAGGCTTGTTTGGATGCTGTGAATGTAAGGAGAGACTTCTCTTGTGCAAGTGCTTTGGAAATCCTACATTGACTTGGAAATTGAGCAAGAGGAGTATAAGAAAACACTAAATCTTTACAGCTGGTTAATTCAGGGGACCCAGCATGTTAAGCTAAGCGTGGATGCCAAGAGCTGCTGGGGAAGTGGATGGAAACCCGACTGCTTCTATTGTCTGGCTTTTTCAAAGCAACAATGTGCCGCAGTTCAGTCCTGTGCCTGTGCCATGAAGAGGGGAAAGAAGTTTCCACACTGCATAACAGGTTCATCTTTTATGCAAGTATTAATCCACTGCCTTCCCTGCTATGTTCCGTGGGTGTTGTACAGAATTTTCACTGGTCACAAATAAAAGCATTTAAAGTTTTTACTATTACTGAGTTCAGGTATTTTTGGCTTGAAAGAAAACAAAAAAAATACCATAGAGCAGGTAATGCCATTTTAATAGTCTCTGAATTTCCAGTATTTGAAAGGAAAAATAATAGGCTAAGTGCAGTGGTATGCATGCATTACCAACAGAAGCAGCATTAGTAAGCTTCTAAGCACTGCTTTTTGGTATTTCATGGGGGAAAAAAAAAAAAAAAAACATTAACCCTAAGATTTCCCATCCATAAGTTCTCAGGGGCTCAGGGAGAGAAGGAACCTGACATTCTTACTAGAAGTTTTGCCTGCAAATCACAGCTTACAGCTACTCAATGTCTTCTGGTCTCACAGGATGAGGCAGAGGTATAATTGACTTTTTCTCTGTATCTCTAGAAAGAGCTTTTCTCATATCTGTAGCAAAAGAAAAAAAAAGGTATGATGATAAATCAGTCATTGCACAAAGCCATATTAAGTGAATTCTTTTTAATCAAGAAGATTTCCTAGAATCACAGAATACCTCTGGTTGGAAGGCACCTATAAGGACCATCAAGTCCAACTCCCTGCTCCCCACAGGGCTATCTAAAACTAAACCATATGAACAAGAGCATCATCCAGATGCTCCTTGAACTCTTGAAGGGCCTGGGACCACAACCGCTGCTCTGGGGAGCCTGTTTCAGTGACTGACCACCCTTTTGGGGAGCAACCTTTTCCTAATGTCCAGTCTGAGCTTCCCCTGATGCAGCTCCATTCTGTTCCTCATGTCCTACTGCTGGTCACCAGGCAGAGACCGGCAGCTCCCACTCCACTGCCTCCCCTCCCTTCCCTTGAGGAAGCTGCAGGCTGTGCTGACGTGCCCCCTCGGCCTTCTCCTCCCCAGGCTGGACAAACCAAGTGACTGCAGCTGCTCCTCTGAAACCTGCCCTCAAGACCCATCACCACCTTGGTCACCCTCCTCTGTACACACTCCAATAGTTCCATCTCCTTGTTCTTCAGGAGCAAGGTTACCAGCTGGCACCTAACACTGCCTGAAACTCGGCCGCATGGGAAGGAGCCAGCAGGCTGAAGGGACAAGGTGTGACTGCAGACATTTGCCACAGCAGCAGACGTCTGCCCGCAGCCCCCGTGCCCCCCAGCACCCCCAAGGAGCAGGGTGAGAGCAGAGAAGTCTCACAGCGGCCCCTGGGGGGACACTGAAAGGAAAGAGGGAGCAGCTGGGACTTCAGTCTTGTTAATAGAACTGACACTATCATACTTCAGTTGCCATGTTCCTTTGTTGTGCACTTAAAGCACCATCCAGTTCCCTGACACTGTTGACCATTGACACCTGCAAATTTGTAGTTAGACATCTGAGAAAAACAAAGTTTTAAGTCCCTGTTATGGGAGAACAGGAGGAAAGCGCCGCCCAGTAATGTGAGCAGAAAGCCCAGCTCCTGGGTGTGAGCACGCCTCAGAAAGGAAAAGCAGCTAAGAAGCTACATTTTTATTTTCATTTTGCCTACAGGATAAACATCTTTGTACTTTATTTATTCTTGTTTTGTGACAGATGCTTCAAGATATGTGAACTGCGAGTTTAAGTTTTTTAACCAATATTATCTTCAGTAGGAAACGCTATTTAAAGGAGTATAAAAAATCCCATTCACCAACAACTATCTGAACTTGTTTCATATTTAAAAAAATAAATAAAAAAATCACACAAACAAGCCCAGGAACCCTCAATGTAAGAATCTTTCCCCTGAACTGGAGGCAGAAGCAGCACTTACCATAAGCATCCTCGTCTGGCTCCCCGTTGCTGGCGGAGTAGTACTCCAGCACCGTACGGTACACGCTGTAGCCGAGCTGCTTGTACATATTCACTGCAACCTGATTGGATACTCTCACGAAGAGGTCGACGAAAAATCCCCCCTTCCTTTGGAAAAATAAAACCAAACAAACCACAGTAAGGAATAGCAGATGGATGTATTTCTCAATACTAGCCCGTCACAGGCGAGCAGGTCTGATGATGTGGAACACCCAGCAAACCCCTGACGCTGAACAGCCACGGGACACACCCTGTGCAGCACAGACGCCATTTCATTTCATTTTTGTCACACCACCATTCTTCTGCACTAGCCAGAGCGTTCACACTTATGAAAGAACAGGACAAGCTGAACACCCACACAAGCCTCATATCAATCATAAGAAATTATTTAAAAGCAACAACAAAAAAAATCCACACTTCAGGTTGCATCATCTCAGGGGCTGCCTCCTTCCAAGTGCGGAGGGGGGTGTGTGGAATCAGTCACAAAATTCAACTGTCCAAGGAGAGACAAACCTCCTGACAAAACACATTTTGCAAAACAATACACTATTCTCCGAGTTTACCAACCACAGTGGTACAGGGGTCATTTCCCCTGAGCTGAGGACATTTTCCTGGGGGTTCATTTGATGCTAAATTAATTTTTCTGCAGGTACAAGCAGCCCAGCACGAGATGGAAGGGAAGCTAAGACACTGTCTGCTGTAAAAAACGTGTTCAAGAATGCATCAGCAGTAATCGCACGAAGCCCACAGTTACTGAACAAGTTTCAGGGAGGCCCTACAGGAACCAGCACTGGTGTTTTGTGAAGTTCTTCTCCTGTCAAGAAAAGGACTATTTATACAGTGTCTCTGCTGGAATTTGGGCTGCTTCCTAACTCATTCTGGCAAATCAGCGTTCAGAGAAATGCTGCGATTTTAAGCTGCCAGCAACATTTGTCATTTTTGCTCTCTAACTACAGGGAATTTCCGCAAATCACACTACTCGAAGCCAAATTCTGTGTCTGTTTCATGCAAATCAAATCCCTAAAGCCACGGACAGCTGTCTGCAGAAAGTAAAAGATAAATTTAAGCACAGAACTCACTTTTCTGAAATTTCTTCCAATAGTTCCATCAGTTTAGCAGCCAAGCCCAGCCGTCGAAATTCCGGTGCGACGGAGAGCGCAGTAACGTGTCCGTGCCACTCCTCCCTGGCCACAGAGCCTTCCGCCTTCCCCATTACTGCGAACACACAGGGCATCAGCGCAGGGCACCTCCGCAGCCAGGCACCACCCGCGGCCACACTCCCGCCCGGACCGACCCATCGGTGCGAGGCTACGTCCCCGCCCAGCGCCTCCGCGGCCGCTAGGAGCAGCGCTGTGCTCCAGCGTTACAGCTCGTGCTTGACTAGTGTGAAAACATAAATAAAATGTCCACGATTTTTGTGAATTCATTGTTTGAAGCATGACTTCCAGGTGCAAAATTTAAGCTACTCTCTTGATTCTTTACCTGAGCAGGATTCAGGATCTGACTGACGTAATGGAGGACAGAGGGCCAGAAGCCCTAAACTTGAAATTTACCACCTTGAAATTTACTGAAGACTTTTGGTGACTATAGGAGAATAGAGCTTGAGAAGCTTCACCAGTCTGGCAATAGAAAGCTAAGGCCCTGTGAACATGATATGTTTAAGAAAAAAAATAAAGGGGGAGAAGCAGATATTGGTTTGGGGAGTTTTTTTGTAGTTCCTCCCTACACAGAGCCAAACCAGTGTTAGGTACTAATGAATATTCACATGGTACTCTTACAAACATCACAGTCGCTGCTAATAAGTAACCGATGGGGTGAGTACTGAGAAACCCACCGTACAACAAACCCTTTAAGCTTAGCTCTGTTAAATACTGTATCTGACAGGTCCCTGCAAAGACCCTTATTCTACCCCCACCCCTCCAAAAAAAAGGGAAAAAAAAACCTGTAAGGAATGAACAAACCAACAGCTCTGAATGACTTCTGAAAAAAAAACAATCATTCCACAGCAGGTGAGCAAATTACATTCAGACCTAGAGCTTTCCCTCCCAGAAAAACGCAACACCCAAGCCCAGCACCTCACTGACTGAGGACCGGCACCGCCTGAGGTCAGGCGGCACTACAGCCCGGAGTCCTCGCCACGCTACGGACGTCAAATTAAAAGCTACTGCTGTAAGAATGCGATCTAATACCCCTAGGTGCTTACGAAACGGGAAGGTGCTACAGAACTCGACTCTTCCCGGGGGGGTATCTGGAAAACGTGAAAAGAAAAGCTCCTGCGCTATAATCCCCAAACACCGAACGCGGCGCGACGGTACCCGCGGGGCACTCACTGTAACCCATCAGCTCCCCGCCGGGCGCCTCGGCGACGACGAAGTACTCGGGCCAGTGCGCCAGGTACTGCAGGTAGAAGGGGATCCCGTACTGGCGCGGCCGGTTAA